GCGAGCTGCGCGATCGGATCGCCCACGCCCCAGCGCTCGTTGTTCCATCGCCCTTGCCATTTCTTTGATTCAAAACTTCCGGACCTGTTCCAAGCGATTCTTTCATCATCGTTTCGGGATTTGAGGACTTACGAGCTGGAAGATCGACAAAAGAAAGGGCAAAAGTAGGATAGGGTTCGATTTTACCTCTCAAAAGCCTTGACCACTGAGAAACGTACTTGGAGTAAGAGTTCGCACCCTTGGAGGCATGGAGGGCAATGAGATCACTCTTCTGAAGGCCATGGGTGTTTGCACTGTGCTGGGAGATTCTCTCCAAGGGCAAGTAAATCTGTGCTTGAATTCTTTCTAGTAGTTGAGTTTATATGTATGGAAAGTGTGGGCTTATTGAGATGCATTTGATTGAGCGGGATGAAACACGATGATCACTGTCTATGTGTCGCATGAGTGTGGTAAGCAAGCAATCCACCTCTATGCATACTTGTGTCTGGAAGGGTTCTTATTAGTTGAGCAATAGTCTTGAAGTGCAATTATGTTTTAGTGTGAGCCTTGGACGATTGTCATTTAGCACATATACTTGGCATGGAAAGTTGCAATATGCATTTCTGATAGAGCAAAATGCAGGCCTAAGATAAAAAAAGATCACCTTCTCATGGCTTTAGATGCTTGTTTTTCTCTTGAAGTTCTTTGAACTGATAATCACATTTATAAGTTGTAGTCGGTTATGGGTTGGATTTTTCTCTTTAAGTGGAAAATTTATGGAAAATGCAGGGATGCATACAATGTGTTTGACAGCATGTGCTATAAAATAAAGGTGATCATTTGAATTGTCATAGTTACTGGACATGCTCAATGTGAACATTATTTACAGCAAGGTGAAGGAAAATAAAAGAATGAATTGCATAGTCTATGCAAAAATTTCATAATGAATTGATTCAAGTCTTTTAACCACAAAAGAGATCAGAACCTCTTAGTAAAATTGATAGTAGCCTGAAAAGATATTACTAAATAATAAGAAAATTTATTATAACTAGGAATGCCCTTAGTGAAGTTGGGAATTTTGCTTACCATTCTCATATATTTAAAACCAAAGAGCCCATTAGCAAATAAGTTTTGAATTTTCTTACAATGCTCTAACACTAAATGCAATGTGATTTTAGCCCTCTTAACACACACATTTTTTCTGTTTTTGCAAAGTGATTCTATTTCTTTTTCTATATGGGGTAATTTATCTTTTAACTATTGGGCAGGAATATTGCACACTTTTGTGGCTTTGACATTTTAATATGTTAGGATGTATTATAAAGATTTATTAAATTTAGCATCAAATAGAACAAATAACAATTCTCATTGTACCACCCTCTAGAGACTAGGTAGTTGTAAGTAATCAAAGATAACAGAATTATATTATATATTGAGAATTACATGACAGAGAATTACATCATATGTTGAGAATTACATGACAAAGAATTACACTACATGTTAAAATTGACATTTAGTAAATTTAATTTGCTTTCAATTAAGTTCAACATAAATAGTAGGGTGTCAAAAGAGCAAAGCTCTTGGGAAAGTTGTGGCTTTCAATTTCCATTTACGAGCATGAACTTGTAAGGAAGTTGTAAGCAACCAAAGAGAACGACTCGAGAGACGGTCCATAGGGGTTCAAATATAGAGGGAAAGGGCCCATGAACAAGAGTGCACCCTGTTTTCCAATCGGTCAAGGGTCTTGGGATAGTTGAAGTTAAGCGTCCTTGGGTTTGAATAGTACTGGGTTGGGTGACCTCCCGGGAAGTCCAAACTCAGGACCTTACATTTGGTATCAGAGAGGTCTCGGGTCCGACTCTGTTGGTTGGCTAAGGGAATCACACCATATGTTGATTGACATCTGGCTGGTCCAGTTTGCTCCTGCTGGGCTCGACCCAAGGGGTAGGGTGTCAAGAGAGCGAGGCTCTCGGGAGAGCTGCGGCTCTCAACTTTCGTTCACGAGGGTGTGAACTTGCAGGGAAGCGTGGTGGATTGTAAGCAACCAAAGAGAACGACTCGAAAGACGATCCATAGGGGTTCAAATATAGAGGGAAAGGGCTCATGAACAAGAGTGCACCCCCTTTTCCAATCGGTCAAGGGTCTTGGGATAGTTGGAGTTAAGCGTCCTTGGGTTTGAATAGTACTGGGCTGGATGACCTCCCGAGAAGTCCAAACTCAGGACCTTACAGAAGTATAGTAAATTCTAAGTAATTAAAAAGAACGAATTGAGAGACAATCTATAATTCAAATATAGAGGGAAATAACAAAAGTACACCCTTTTTTCCAATTAGTTTGGGTTAAAACGTGTTAGGTTTAAGTATTGGGATATTTGGGGGTTAAGTCTCCTTACGTTTGAGTAATACTAGGCTGGGTGGCCTCTCAAAAAATCTAAATTCAAAAAATGGTATATTTCTCACTCATCTATATAGCATGATTTTAAATTTAGTTCTCTTAAATATATTGAGCATAACAATTTTAGATCTGATTCTCTTAAATACATTGACCATGACACAATTGAGAAATGAGACTATGGTTATTTCCTCCTACTACATTAGCACAAAATTATTTTTCTTTTTATAAAGCTTTGTGATTTTTTTTCAATTTATCAATACTCTAGATTTTAGATGTGATTCTGAGGATAAGGAGAAAGCCATCCTTTGAGGGAGGACAAAAAGTTAGCAGGTCTTTATATTAAATATCTATAAATCCATTTAGTAAATTTTTATGAAATATGATTGTCTAACAACCTTTTTATTTATAATTTCTAATATATGAGAGATATTGTAATTTGAATTTCTATAATAAATCCACTAAAAACTATTAGTGAAATATAACTTTATATAAACTCCTGAGTTTGGAGTTTCTAAGAGGTCACCCATCTCAGTATTATTTAAACCCATGGATATTTCACTTTAAATATCCTAAGATATTGGGAAAGGGGGTGCATTTTTATTTATAAGCCCTTTCCTTTTATATTTATACCCGATGGATCATCTTTGAAGTTGTTTTCTTTGGTTAGTTATAATTCATTACACTTCTTTGCAAATCACGCCCTTGTAAATGGAAGTTGAGAGCCATAGCTCTCTTGAGAGCCTAGCTCTTTTGACACCTTGCCTTTCGAGTTGAGCCCAACCAGAGGCAAACTAAACCTTCCAATGTCAATCACAATATATGGCATGACTTTTTAACTAATCAATAATGTCAAATCCAAGAACTTTTGAATACCATGAACTCCTAAATTCGAACTTCCTAAGAGGTTATTTAACCTAATACTATTTAAACCCATAGATGCTTAATCACAAATATTCAAATCACAAATATCACCTTGTGCGCAATTGAGTATCAAGTGATCGTCAGCCCTCTCCGACTTTTGATCACACAGGAGATCATCAACTCTCCCTTAGCAAATATCAACATTGATTGGGACACTCTGACAATCATTGTTTGTCCCATTCCATCACAACGTCCCCCTATACTGAGACCACAATATCTCTATTCTCGACTGAAACGTATAAACGTCATCAGGAGGATAGGACTGATCTGTACACCAGATATTGATCTCAGCTGGTTAGCAGCTCCAAATTTGTCATTCGAACAGCTTGAGAAAGCTCTTTACGATGTGATTATGGTGGTAGATCCTCAGAAACTTGTACTGATCTACACCAATCAACAATACAAATACACTGTCTTTGATTCAGGAACCCCAGTCCAAAGCATGCAGTCGAATGAGTTCAATAACATTCGCTAAAGGTGACCCGATTAAAGCAGCAGAAAGAAACAGAAGGTAAAGATAGATCTGCCAGAAAATCACAACTCCAACAACAACGCAATAACATTCTCAAACGAATATTCACTAAGTTCGGGCAACAAGACAGTCAGACTCAGACTCCAAATCCGATACCCAAGACCCGGGAATTTAGTCCTGACAGACGGACACCGAGTTCTCAAGTTCCTGGAGTTAATCAATTTGGAGCATCATCATTGAGAGGATATCAATTCCCCTTCATCAGCAGCCCACTTGCAAAGCTGACTACTGCTCAAGAAGCCAAAACATGGCCAAAGATCAATCAACGTGAAGCTCCGGATATCAAACCCAAGGAATTACAGCCAAAGAAAGATGGACCTCAACGAGACTCCTGCACTAGTTGAAGGAGAAGACACTCTCCAAAAAAAGATCAAAGTCAGTGAAGACCTTGATACAGTAAACATTGGGACCAGCGAAAAGCCCCGAAATGTTCTCATAGCTCAGGAACTCGATTCCGACTTCAGACAACAAGTTATCGACCTTTTGCGACTTAATCAGGATGTTTTCGCATGGTCATACAAAGAGTTATGGGGCATACCTCCTGATCTCTATACACACCGAATTCAACTCATTTCAGGAGGAACACTGAAGAAACAAAGAGCATACCGAATGAACCCGAACTTCCAGGAGAGAGTTAAAGCCGAACTCGATAAGATAATTGAAGCTCAATTCATCAGGCTGATACAGAATGCTAGATGGCTGTCGCCACTAGTTATAGTGCCCAAGAAAAATGGCAAACTGCGAATATGTGTGAACTACAAAAAGTTGAACGAGAGCACAACCACAGACACATTTCCAATTTTATTTATGGATGAAATACTGGATTCGGTAGCCGGACACAAGATGTATTCATTCCTAGATGAATTCAGCGAATTCAATCAAGTACACATTGCAAAAGAAGATCAACAAAAAACAGCATTCATCAGCCCATGGGGAGTGTACGCACTAGTGTCAAGAGGGCAGTGTGCATGATTAGCAACAACACTGCTGTTGCAGAAGTTTTTTCTCACATAAGTCACAAATTCGATCTTATGTTTGCTAAATGGGCTTTTGTGCATTGGTATGTTGGTGAAGGTATGGAAGAGGGAGAGCTCTCCATTGCCAGAGAAGACTTGGCAGCCCTAGAAAAAGACTATACAGAGGTTGAACAGGATTGTGACAATGAAGAAACATATTGAAAGGTGTTATGAATGACTGAATATTTATAAATTAACATACATTGATACGAACACCACAATCAATCACACAACACTTCAGCCACAACCTCACCAATTTAACATCAGTCCTGGCGAACCAAAGGCCACCATAGGTGCCCATATACGAACTGGCATGTCTAAGTGTAGCATTCTGAGCATTGCTGCTCTGAGAGCGTCGTGAACATTACGTCGTCCTCTAAGGAGTTCGTCAAAAAATCCTGATAAAACAGAAGCACAAAAATGAGACAGAAGCTGGGCCTGGCTTTGGCGTACCTGTTACCAGCTCTGGAGTTGCAGCGTCGTTCACTTTCCACAGCGTGACCAGAACACAAACAGCACCTGCTTGAAGCACAGCACGCCCCAGTCCAAGCAAGCCTTCGCTTGAGACTTGACCTTCACCAGCGTGGCAAGCACTGAGAACCACCAAGCCTGCTTGAACTTCGAGTGTCTCGATCTCCTTGGCTGTGATCACCTCATCAGTTCTGCACTTTGCAGCTTCAGCACTCGCAGCCGCCGATTGCATGACTAGAGCACTGCTCGCAGCTTCTCGCATCCCAGCAACACTCGCTGTGGAGCCCGCTTGCATGACTAGAGCCCCATGCTGAAAGTAGCGGTCCAAAAGCCCGTGAGTGACGAGCACGACGACGCTGGCCTTGCTCATATTGCTCATCACCTGTGCCTTCGTCATTCCGGAGCCTATAACAGCGTCCACACCAAGCTGTTGTCCAACTTCACCCGCCTCTTGAGCTGCTCCTTTGAGCTGGGGTAGACCCAGGCCCATCGGCTCTGGATTTCCGGCCACGAAAGCTGTTGCTCTGTCTCTCTTGGCAAACTCCTCCTGCCGGATGAGGCAGCGGCCCAGAGCTCGAAGTGATGGTACCGTCCCCACTGCCTTGTTTTTCACAAGGAACTCGTTTCCATCGTACAGTGCAGCAAATGGCACCAGTGACAGGACGTCATGGGGAGCAAAGATTACGCTGCTGCAGCTCGCCAGGAGTTCCTGAACTGGGACGATGAGTAACTCGTGAAGGATCCCCAGGCCGACCTTAACTTCAGCTGTGTCCTTGGCAATGGCTGTCCGAGTTCGCTTCACAAGAGCGTCCAAGCGTTTGCCTAGCCTCTTGTTCGGCTTGCTGCTGAAAAAATTCTTCAAGTCCACCTGAGATGATAGGTTGAGTAGAGCATACAACTCGACAGACGCGTACCTGCCGCACATGAACTGCACACTGCTCCTGCTGAACGACGTATATGTATAAGACGTCCTCCGTACTTGTTGGACACGTGTACTCCACCACCGCCGATCCTGGAGGACAGCTTGTCACGGCCTCGCGGATGCAATCAATGGCGTACTGGTCATCCCTGTCGAAGCGCAAGAGGCCCCCCTCTTCTCCATCTTGCCTGTTTCAGAGTTAAAAGAAATCAAGATTGTGAACAAACGTGGTAATCTCATTACACAGTTCGTTGGTTGATGTTGTAGAAATATAGCCGCATCCTGCTCCTCTCGGCCCATAAGAGAGCGTCCATGTACCTATTGCTTGCAATAAGCAGCTTCTGCATAAAATAGAAGGCCTTCCTCATGTCTCCAGCAAGTAAAGTCACCCATGCATGTTCCAGGCCTCTTAACCTACTCTGCATCTCCATTAGCAGTAAGAGTGCCTTGTGTGCAGAGACTTGTGCTCTCTCGAGTTCATCTTTGCCCTCTAGGAGTCCAGCTCGCACGAGCATGACCTTGGCAGTTTTAAGCTCGCTGCCGCTAGTTAGAGCTTCAGCCCTGTCTAGACATGCTTCAGCATCTCTATAGCTCTTTAGGTTGATGAGAGCAGCTGCTTGTGAAAGGTACGCGAATCCCAGCTCTGAAGGGGCTTGACCAGCTTGCTGATATATTGTCACTGCTGCTTGTGCCTCAGTCAGTTGCTTGTTGCTTAATTCGATCCACCTGCTCTGGTTTTCCTCTAGCGCCTGGTTCCTGTAAACCACGGAGCGGTTGAGGTGCACGCATGCCAGAGTGTCCTGGACTAGAGCCTCCTCCTGTATCGAAAGCCTAGAAATGCAGGCAAACACTTCCTCATATTTCTCCAAAGCTGCATCCGAGTCCCCAAGTTGCCGGTAAGCGTTCCCCAGATTGAGGAGTATGCTGGTTTTTTCCAGCCAATCGTGTTCCTGGCTGCCAGTGTCGAGGCATGCTGTAAGCTTGTCCCGTACAAACTCGTGATCTTCGAAAAAAGCAAAGTTACCCCCATTGATCAAGTACCAGAGCTGCTCTGCGCCTGGTGCCAGTTTCTCCAAGTTACTTGATATCAGCTTAGCAAGATCCAATGCATCTGAGAACCGCTGGAGCAACATATAAGCTTGGAAAAGAACGCACCAGCACCACTGCAGGCAGCCTGAAGTGTCTGCCACTTCCTCCCAGAGTCTTCTTGCGGCCTCAAGGTTGATAACGGCTTGGATTGTGTTCTCAGTCCCAAGCAGACTCTGCCCAAGCTCAAACAGAAGTTGAGCGTTGACATCACGCTCCTCGGCCAACAAACCTTGCTTGTTTGTCAAAAGCCTGGTCAGCATCTGGGTGGCCTCCCGGAAATGACCTTGGCGCTTGACACAGTGAGCCAGGTGAACATCGCACTTGAGCTCGAGTCTTGGTGTTGGAGCCAAAAGCTTGCATTGCGCGTACAGCCCCAAAGCTTCCTCGGGTGTACCATACTCAAGGCGAACCCCGGCAAGTGTGTACTGTAACATGAACAGCACTCCTCTTACTTGTGCATCTTCGGAAGATCCATGTTCGCTTAGCAGCAATTCAGCACCAGCATGGAGACATTTGCAAGCCTTGTCGACTAAATTGAGCAGTACAAGTTGCGCCATTCCCATATGTGCATATGCTTCTGCTCTTTTTAGCTTCAAGGATCTTTCTACCTTCTGCGCATGCGGGATCCTGGGCTCAGCTGTTTCAGTCTCTAGATGATCCCTGGGCTCAGCTGTTTCAGTCTCTAGATTTTCAAGCGAGGAGCCTTTGTAAGTGTCTATGCAATCAACTAAAAACGGACTTGCATCACTCAGCCGACTGAGCTGTAGTTCAGGGTCCTCCACCAGGAGAGCCGCCTCCATGGAAGAAACCAGATGGGCTGCCGCAGTCTTGTAATCACCTGTGTGCAAAACCTCTATCGAACCGGCAACTGCCCAGTAGTTGCTAGAATCCGCGAAGCTACCAGCATTGTGTGCGCGTTGTGCTGCTTCTGCAGCCATTCGACTTGCCTCCACATAGTTTTTCAACTCCTGCTGAACTTCGGAACTGGCAATGCAGGCCAGCCACTCTATCCCGTCCAAACCGATGCATCTATGTAGCTGTTCCAATGCCTCGTCCAGTGCTCCCACGCGAGCATATGATCTGCCAAGATAATAGTACGACGAAGCTCGGCAGTCCCCTAGACTTATTCCCTGCTTCAAGTACTTGACTGCACTTGGGTAATCCTTGGTGATGTACAGGATCTGGCCTAGCATGCATTTTCCCCCAGCCACTAGTGTGCTCCACATGTGGCTGCCTTGGTCAAGCTTCTCATCTGCCAAACTAATGCCCAACTGAAGCTCGCGTGCTGAGGCTTGGACATCGGTTGAGAACAGCGTCATACCTGTACTAATGCGGCTTTGTATCTCACGCTCTACTTGCTTTTGTTCCATAGCCATATGGATGTAATCTACTTTGTGTCGCCTAATTTGAGAAGATGGCTTCACGAACCAAGGATGTCGAAGTCAAACTTCCGAACATAAATCTGGTGGGAGTCGTCTTGTAGCTCTTGTTGGACCTCTTCAATTTCGAGCTTTCTAGAAGGTGTATCTGGAACCAAATGTCATCATACTAAACAATAGTTTGAATTTGCTTCGAGATAAACAATCTTACCTTGGTGCAACTTGGTTTGAGAGAGGACGAAGTAAACGGCTTGCTGTCCTACACGTTTCAGGCCACTCTTTTCAACTCGAAAGCTTTTTGGATCATGCTTATGCCTGCTACTGTCTGGGAAGACGCGATTGAACTTGCTGCACAGCACAACACCCAAATTACATAGACAAGACACACAGTCTCAAAGCATACCATCGAAGGCTGTTGTTGGCTGATGAGACCTTCGGATAGTAAAGCAGAGGTGCACCTTCTTCGGGATCATACGTGATGATGTAAAAGAACCCATCATCTTCTACAGCGATTTCAAACCTTAGCTTGCTAGAACTCTGCAGCTCATATCCGCCATCTCGTGCAACTCGATTTTCCTCGTCTCCTTGAACCTTCACCTCCAATCCAGGTTCGGGCGGATGGAACTCACTCCCCTCAATCCCCCCAATCTCCACTGATACACTGAACTCTTCAGAGTCTAGCGACTCTATGCTGAGTTTGTCCAGCTGTGAAATTAACTCGGGAGTAGAGTCACCAGCAGCAGCAGCAGCAGAAGCAGGTGTGACAAAGAACTTCCCAAAGACCTCCGCACCCAACGCTTGGTCTAGCTGCACCAAGGCATTTTGGATGCGCTTGGAGATGTCTTCGACTTTGCGGTTGCGCGTTGCAACACCATAGCCGAGCACCGTCTTGATTCCAGATACTACAGATGTCGATCCAGTAGCCTTGAACTTGTACTCTTCCACTTTAATCTTGGCAATGTTCAGCTCCTGCCCAAGTTGCTGCAGAGGAGGAAGCAGTGATTCTAGTGTCTGAGGATCAGACACCTGCTCTAGAAGCCCTTGAACCCTCGAAAGTAGCCTACCCGCATTCTGCACCTGCTCTACTAAGTCCACAATTTTGATTGGCGCAGCCTGTATTTCCTCCCTCGCCTTGAGAATCGCTTGCACCGCAGAAATCGCATTGGTCACCAGGCCCAGATGAGCATCCATTTCATTGACAGTGCTCTCAGCTTTAGACTAAGTCTCACGTTGTGTCCCCGCGAGGTCCTTGGTCAGCAGTCCGTACACCGTTCGGGTAGTTTCTGAAACGCGTTCGACAATCAATCTATTGTTTGTCAATAGTCGGAAGCTTTATCTGCGATCGATGTAATTTATATTATGTTAGGAAATTTAAAATTATTTTTCTTGGTCGTGCTCCCTACATTATTAATCTGTTCATATATAATTGTATTTGTCCGACGTACATAATTATAATAATAATCAAACAGTGCACGTACGACGACTATGACCACATTGCCCACAACGACCACAATAAAACTCACTCCTTCATCTTCCGAACGAATCCGCTTTTTCTTGGGTAGTCCTGGAGGTCGTGGAGTCTTTGAAGGTAGCATGTCATTTTTTTTGAGTTGTTGAACGTCTACGGGATAAATCACTCCAGCATATGCCTTGCAAAAAGAGTCCAGCATATAGCATTTATGAACATAAGTTTGAATACACTATTTTCTTCATAAGTTTGAATACACTATTTTCTTCATAATATAGCTGTGAGCACAAGGTATACAAACCAACTCAAGCAACATTAGGGCCAAATATAATAATTAAGTTTTGTATATTTGACGGAGGGGCTTTTTTTGGATTAGTATTTAATTTAGCTTTAGTTTTAGAGGTAAGAATTTTTACACGGAGGGGAGGGATGAACCCTAAGGCGCAAGGCGCAAGGCACCAGCTTCATAGATCTGCAATAGGCCTCTGTTATTCCTTGATCCATGTCGCAGTTGCTCAACCATTACATTCCGTACGCAGATGAAGAGTACATAGCCCGGGAGCAAAGGTATCTCTGGTTCCAGGCACAGACTTGAATAGCAATGATCCGCAACTGCTGGGAACTTTTCTCAAGCAACGAAATTTAAATCAGCACTGGCCGTACTGTCCGAGTTCGCATTTGATGAATTTTTTGTGCTTCATCTTCGGACGTAAAGGAGCTCCAACGCCTCCATTGATCACGCACTTTTCAACCACAGCACCTATCAAGATAGAAGTCATGAATAATCTTCACAAAGACCTCAAGATTAAACAGGGAGACCACATTGGTTTTCTTTGTTTCAGCCCCAAAGTTAGCCCGCCAACCAGAGTACATCTCAAAGAGGACCTACATCTCAAAGAGGACCGACACACTTCCGAACCATCCAAACGTCCACGGCTGGACCAAGGCCAAAGCTTGACGTTGTAAGTATGATCCTCTCAGTGGAAGTGGTTTCATCAGATGGGTCTGTTTCCGATTAGGTCCTGGGATGGAGCGGTCTTAGGTTCCTCGTCCTGAACATCTCCCCTGTCATCACAACTCTCCGCCATAGCCCCAGGTAAGTTGCTTGGCTGCATCGGATTTGCTGCATGAAGCTTATTGACATTTGTCTGAATTTTTGAGCATTTTTTCTTTGACGCTGAAAACGGTACGTTTTAATCTTGCATTTTTTAACACTTTAGTAATTAATGCATAATTTCCTGACATCAATTACTGCTCGGCCTTGTATATATCGTGGTTGAATCTTGCATATGGAATACTTGCACTACATTCGGCATGGGGCTGCGTCTATATTTGTTCTGCATTCTTCTTGAGGTTATTAGCTCTGGGGCAGTTGTACCCCCAGGGAGCATGATGCGGGTAATGAGGAGCCTAACGACCCTGCCCCACCCCAGCCTGATCAAGCAGGTCCGTCTCGGGTGGAATGACTTCTAGTTCAGGTTCGTACCTTCGCAACATCGCTCATCGTCCGTGGTCCAACAAGCTTCGGAAACAATGACGATGTGGAAGATTTGATCATTCGCACTGGGCTAGTAGCGATAGCGGCATCTTGTGGTTCCCGTTTTTATTTTCTCCGCTTCCACGACGATGAAGCAATGGAAACCTTCATCCTCGCACCTCGGCTACATCACAGTGGAAGATTATTTGTATATCTTCCATTGACTAACCTGTTTGATCCTGCATACCAATGAGCTTATTTATGCATGCCATTCGGCCTAACAAACGCCCCGTTCACCTTCCATAGAATCATAACTGAGACTTTTTAGGAATACCTGACCAACTTCATGCAAGTCTTCATGGATGACTTTAGCGTCTTTAAAAATCAAGCAAGGCACTTGGAATGCCTTCAAAACTTCTTCAACAAATGCAAGGAAAACAACATCGCTCTGAATCCAGAGAAATGCACCTTTTTCGTCAAATCAAGAGTTCTACTCGGACATGTAGTCTGCAAACAAGGAATACTGATAGACAAGGCAAAGACAGAAATCATTCTCAATATGAAACTGCCAACAGAAGTCTCAGGTGTCCAAAAATTTCTAGGAAAGATGGGATATCACCGACGATTCATCCGAGATTATGCTCGGATCAGCAGGCCGATAACTGACTTGTTGAAGAAGCAAAATCCATTCAAGTGGACTTCTGAGTGTGACACAGCATTTCAGACGCTGAAAAATCATTTAGTTCGAGCACCCATACTCGCTCGACCGAATTGGAAACATGAATTTATAGTTCAAGTTGATGCATCCGACTACGCTATCAGAGCCATACTTTCCCGTGCACTCTGATATATAGGCTTTTTCCCTTTATATTTAAACTCTATGAATTGGCTTTCAAGTTGTTTTCTTTAGTTTGTTACACTCTACTGTGAGACATAAAATCCCTAGGCCCCAAAGTGGAGCCGAAAGGGTGCCACGTGGTAGTGGCCAAAGTGAAAGCTAAATGAGCATAACTCGTTTGGACTAAAAGCTTTAACTTGAAAAGTCGAGAAGGGGAGTGGAACTCCAATGAAGGGCTCAAGGAACAAGCACGAAGCGAGCCATGAGTGAGTCTCTAAAAAAGGGGACACAAGAGGACCCGAGATAGACCCGAGATAGAGTTCAAGATGGAGTCCGAGATGGACCCGAGATGGACCTGAGATGGAGTCCGAGATAGAGTCTGAGATGGACCTGAGATAGACTCGAGATGGAGTCCGAGATGGAGTTTGAGATGGACCAGAGATGGACCTGAGATGGAGTCCGAGATGGACTTGAGATGGACCCAAGATGGAGTCCGAGATGGAGTTTGAGATGGACTCGAGATGGAGTCCGAGATGGAGTTTGAGATGGACCAGAGATGGACCTGAGATGGAGTCCAAGATGGACTTGAGATGGACCCAAGATGGAGTCCGAGATGGAGTTTGAGATGGACTTGAGATGGAGTTTGAGATGGACCCGAGATGGAGTCCAAGATGGAGTCCGAGATGGACCCGAGATGGAGTCCGAGATGGATCCGAGATGGACCCGAGATGGAGTCCCAGATGGAGTCCGAGATGGACCTGAGATGGACCCGAGATGGAGTCCGAGATGGAGTCTGAGATGGATCAGAGATAGACCTGAGATGGAGTCCGAGATGGATCCGAGATGGACCCGAGATGGAGTCCGAGATGGACCTGAGATGGACCCGAGATGGAGTCCAAGATGGAGTCTGAGATGGATCAGAGATGGACCTGAGATGGAGTCCAAGATGGACCCGAGATGGAGTCTGAGATGGAGTCCAAGATGGAGTCTAAGATGGACTTGAGATGGACCCGAGATGGAGTCCGAGATGGACCTGAGATGGAGTCCGAGATGGAGTCCGAGATGGATCTGAGATGGACCCGAGATGGAGTCCGAGATGGAGACCCGAGATAGAGTCTGAGATGGAGTCCGAGATGGAGTCCGAGATGGATCCGAGATGGACCTGAGATGGAGTCCGAGATGGACCCAAGATGGAGTCCAAGATGGAGTTTGAGATGGACTTGAGATGGACTTGAGATGGAGTCTGAGATGGAATTGGGACCGAGACCAAGACCAAGTCCGAGTCCGAGACCGAGACTGAGACCGAGACCGAGTCCAAGTCCGAGTCTGAGTCCGATTCCGAGTCCGAGTCCGATTTCGAGTCCGAGTTTGAGTCTGAATACTAATATAGGCTATTGGGTGAAAGCCCAAAGCAATCATCCCCCAGAGGGTGGGGGGGGGGCTGCAGGGGTAGGGAGAGTGTGGGGGTTGGATCCTAGTGGAGCCAGTTTGGCCAAGAAAGGGCAGTTTGGCCCAGGAATGCCATACCCATCTGTTGGTTGATGGGATGACCACTGGGAAGTCCAAGGCTAAAGTCAATATGGACTGACAAGTGGGGTAGCTTGGTGAAGTGTTCAAGAGCCGGCTCTAGTTCCCCCGGGAGATCGAATGGTCAATGCTCCCAGTCCAAATGTGGGTGGCACTACCTACTTGGATACCTGGCATGGCTCAACGGAACCTCGCTCTAAGCCCATGGCTAGAGCACCCAAAGGTGGAAGGCGAGGAGAGTACCCAGGTCACATAGGGCCATGGTGTTCTGAAATATTGTCCCAAAATTGTAGACTGTGGAAAGGAAGAGGAGTAGTCCTCTAGAGTGGCGACCAAGGATATGGTCACACCGTGAGGAAGTCCTAGTGGACAATGGGACTTGGTGGTTGGGCTTGCGGGCCTTAATCCAGTGGCAGTATTGGCAAACATGGCCATAGACAAAAAGAGATTTGGTGGGGACTGGAAAAGAGTTGTCAAGGAAGGCTATTCCTCTTGTCTGCGGGCATCCTAAGGATGCTAAGGAGTGGATCTGGGATGATCACTCATGGATGGATGGCTCAGTCTTTGAGAGACGGGACTGTGATGTAGGTGGTGTTAGACCACTGGTGTAACCAATGTAAATGGGCATGGCCTTAGCGTAACAGGCTGATATGTCGGTGGTACTTTGGGGTGTCGGTCATGGGATCAAACACGTGGAGCACTTGGACCAAGTGCAATGGTTGAGTGGCTTGGATGCCATTCTTGGGGCTAGCAAGTCCGTAATTTCAAAATAGGACTTATAGAGGTTGTGAGTGAGACTCCTCCAAGTGGTCGAAGGTGTAGTTAAGTGACTAAAGTAGAATTGAAAATTTAGTCGCTTACATCTACTTCAAATATCAAATCATGCATTTTCATGGACAATCTATCTACTAGTTTTTTTTTTCTCAATTGGTTCTAAAACTATTAAGGCACTAATTTAATTAGTATT